AATCAACCAGAAGATCGAAACAACAGACCGGTCGCTCAACGCGACAGATATTAAGTGAGTTGTATCCCATTTTATGACCTTTTTGCCAGAGTTGTTAAGCAACTTACTGTAGTTGTTAAGTGAATCATGTGGTTGTTAAATTAACCTAGCTTTCTTCATTGACCTTTGCTTGTCGGAAGCCGACTGGAAAGGTTACAAATAACAGTCACATGACCTCTGTCAATTTTGGATCACGTGACCATGGGTATACTGCAGCAGTTATAAGAGTGAAAACCGTTTGCAAGTGCCTTTTATAACAGCACTGATGCTGTTATAACTTTGAACAGTTACTAAATGAATGGCTGTAAGTCAAGGACTACCTATATTAAAGAAAAATACTGCATTGGATAAGGAAATTTTTTAAAAAAATCTAGAAATGTGGGTATCAGAAACATATCTATCTGCTAAATTAATACTCAGTTGGGCCACACAAAAATCTGATAAAAATTTGACAAAATTGTTCTGTCCTTCTCAGTAATTGCAAACCAGGCACCAGGGACCGATTCCGCGAAGAAAGGATTTTCCATGGACTGGAGGGAGTGTGGTTTTGTGTGCTGCCTACATCCTCTGGTTAGTGTTTTGCTTGTTTGCACGGCCTGGTTGCTGGCATGCTGCAGTCCACTGCCAGTCCATGGACCAGGGATTGGGAACCCTTACAAGTAGACCATAAGAAAATATGCAGGTGTATTAGGTAGAATTATTTGTAATTATGTGCAATGACACTCTTAATTTTTTACTCACTAGTCTCTTTTGTAATAACAAATTGCAAAGTTTCAATATTGTAGCCCTCAAGTTAATGAGCCAGACTTATGGCATTTGCAACTATATTTTTGAGACTCCCACTATAAGTGATCCCAGAACCACAGAACTATGTCATTATCTACATTTAAAAAAAATAAATCTTTCTGACTTTTTTTTCTTATCATGCAAGTATTGTTAGTGCTCTATGTCCATGTTACATATACTGTGTTCATGCAAGCAAATATGAGCAATTTCTGCAGTGTTCCTCTTTGCTTGTGCAAATAATACATCTGCAAAGCAATGCTGAATTAAAGGGGGAAATTGCCTTTGCTGTGAAACTTTCACCATAACAGCACTATTTGTATGCTGAGCACAGAGAAGGGCTATACATGCAACCCAGAAGCAATTATGTTTGCTCTTGCCTTTCTCTTCTTCAATATTAACTATCGTGATCCATATTCTGTTAATAAGTAATTATCTCTTTGTAAAGTATACTAGGGTAGTTACTGACAGGGACAAGGAAAAAAAACAAATGCCTCTCCTAACTTAGTTAAGGTGCTTCTTTAATTTTGAAACTGCCATGGTAAAGTGATTATAAGGAATGCTTTATAGATGTGTATTTAAGATAGACAGACAGATAGATAGATAGATAGATAGATAGATAGATAGATAGATAGATAGA